ACGCGGCAGGGGGCCCCCCCCGGGTTTCCCCCGCCCTGGGGAAAAGGGGGAAAAGGGGGATTCCCAGGGGGGGGGGGGGGGCCCCGGCTTTTTCTCCGGGTGGGGGGGGGTCCCTGAAAATGCCCCGGAAAACACGTTTTTGGCCATGTTTCTTTAAAACCCTTTTTTGGGTTACTTTGGGAAAAAAAAACCACTGTTTTTTTTTGAACCCCTTTTCGCCTTTTATTGGTACCCTTTTTTTTGGTTTTGGGCCCTTTTTCCCCCCGTTTGGGCCCCCTTTTCCCAGTTTTTGGGCCCCCCCCCCCCCCCCCCCCCCCTCCCCCTCAGGACCTGGTCATGTACGAGAGGGAGGCGCCGCAATATCCCTATCTCCCACTTACACCCGTGCAACGTACTTGAAGAGCGACAACAGGGCGATTCAACCGAAGATGGCGATGGTGGCAACGACGCAATCGACGACGCCGACGAAGTCGACAACGGGGAGGGAGTGCCGACCTCTGGCGTCGAGGTCTCAGACAAGTGTGCACCGTCCAGCTTCGGTGTGGGCATGATGTTCATGACTGTCGTGGCCCAGGGAGGCATGGACGCGAGCTTTTCTGTCATGGCCTCCCTTGTCGGGAAGGTGCGTTGGTTCTGCTCTTGTCTGGTCCTGCGTTGCGGGTTCTGGTTCCGTCCTCGGGTTCGGTTAGAACGTTCGATTGTGTATTCGTGGGTCTTTTGGTGGTGGCGGCGGCACCCCAAGGAGAGTGGGTGCAAGCGCACAATCTGTCTTTTCGTGATTGTCGTGAAGGTACGGTGGTAGCGTATTTTTGGTTCGTTGCTCTGTCATGGCTCTGCTTGAGTTCTGCGAGTATTTTCACGACTTGGAAGCGTGGCCTCGTTGGTGTTTTCCCCGGCGACCTGTCGGGTATGACCCCTCCCCCTCCTGCGCTCGCCTTTCCTGGTTGAAACCCTACTCCCCGGTACGCTGCCGTGTTTCCGCATCCAGCACGGTCGTAGCGTTGCTGCATCTTCGTGATCACCTCCTGTCGGCCTGAGATCTGGGAGCACGTGACCCAAGCGAGTCCTATGTTGCAATGCCATCTCCCAATGTGTACCCCATGCCGACAAACGCGTGTCCTACAGCCCCACCTCGTAGTTTCTACTGTTCCCTCTCCTCCCGTCCCCTCCGGCCGTCTGTCCCTCTCACGCGGGATGAAAATGGCCCTCTGATTCCACTTTCGAACGATTGAACGGCCCCGTCTCCTCGCAGGGATTTATGTATCCGTCGTTCGCGTTACGCTTCTGTCTGCATAGCCCGAAAATCGCACGGCGGCAACAACCACGTACCTAGCAATGCACGACTCCCCTCCCTGTTCTCCGTGGACACGCTTGAACCCTTTAGCATGTGACCCTGGTGACGGGCGTGCCCCAGCACGCCGTAACGTCTCCCATGGTGCCCTGCGGGGAGGCGAAGCAGACGGAACAGGGCCCGTGCTCGGCGGAGTACGAGACGTCGAGCGTGATGCAGGAGGCCCTGTTCGTCTTCAAGGTAAGATTCGTGGTTTTTCTCCAATCTCTCTCTCTCACCTTCCCTCTCCAAACCATGGGATCAAGATGAATGTCCCGAGTTCGCCGAAGGGGGTCGATTGTTGGTTGCGGGAAGTACGGCCAGTGCTCTTCACGATGTACGTATGGTTCCAGCAAGTTCGGTTCCGCGTCGTTGGAACGTCGGAACGTGAAGATTTTCTCAGCATGGGAGGGTGCGATTTCATACGTCGAACACAGTACGGCCGTTCCGCACTTGGAAACAGGACGCCTCTCCTCCTCTATCGACATAGGCCGATTTTCCATACTTGATTGCATCCATATCTCCCTAGTGCAAGAAAAGAAAGAGCTGTCGAAGGCGGATGAGTTGTGGAACAATGCGTTGCCGACGGCTCTCCGAAAGCGTATCGTTCGGTAGTTTTGGCACCCGTTTATTTGGGGAGAAACGAAGCGATACACCACCAGCCCGAGGGGGGGGGGGGTGTTGAGCAACACCGGAGTAATATTTTTTCCTATTATATCCTTCCGTTCTTGAACGTGTTCTTGAAGTATTTATCTAGCAAGTATTGCGGCGGTGCTGGGCTCCGATGCTGACGACCACATCGGTTGTCCTTTGCAGTGTGCTGCCTGCACAACTCGTGAGGTTAGGGAAGGAACAGCACTGAAAATATGGCACACGTATACTACGCACGCCCGAACAGGTGGGGGCGGGTTCGGTAGCGGCCACGACCGGGTTCTCATTGAGCCTCGTACCGGAATGCGCCCCGGGCTCGTGCGGCGGGCCAACCTGCGCCTCCGGCTGCCCCAGGAGGCCGGCGAAGGTGTACGTTAAGTCTTGTCCTGAGGACAAATGCCTCCCCGAAGACAGGTTCCCTAGCCAGGGGAGCCGCGACAAAGAGGTATGGGGCAAGCTAAATCGAGCGTTGAGTCATCACGTTGTTGTTTTATTTTGTTGTTGTTGTTGTTGGTTCTTCTTCTTCTTCTTCTTCATGTTGCCTTTGTATTGTAGTATGCACAGTTGGTTTCTGATGGTACGGTGGTGGTTCTTGGTGATGATCTTGGGTTAATTTTGCGGTCGAGTCCCCGCCTCCTCGCCCCCCCTCCCATCCTTATTCTACCCCCGCGGCTGTGTCTGGAGATTCAGTGTTCGTCCGTCAATTGTTCTGCTCTGGGTGGAGATAGCGTGCTCGTGTTCTTGGAATTTCGTGACGACTTTTAATCACGGATGGCCCGGATGAATCGCTCTTTTTCTTGGTGGTATGCATAGTTGTCTGGGTGAACAACGTGCGATTGTGTGTGCGTGGCGAACAGCCAACCGCCTGCTTGCGCTACTCTGTCATATCATGAGGCTACAGCTGAGTTTCTGATATCGCTCCTCGCCGTGTGCGAACATTACAAAGTCGTCGGTTTGGTTGGGTCCCCCCTTAAAAATATCGGTCCCCAAAATGGGATCCGTCTCAATTGGTGTTCGATCGCTTGCGTGTACGTTTTCCCCTGAAATTTCCCCCCAGCCTCCTTCCTCTCGAGGAGGCGTGGTTAACGGCCTAACCGCTGCAGGCATACAAATCATGAGTGCCCCCCCCCACACACACCCCAAACACGCCCACGGTGCCCCAACGAAGTTCGAGGTGTCCTCGGCCGACGGGTCGGTTTTCATTGCGGACGGACGGGGCTCCGCTGGTGACGGAGTGTTTTGCGTCCCCTCCAAGCACGGGGCCTGCGTGTACTACATCGCCGTGACTGCGGGGGGAGAGGACGAGCCGGCGATGCAGCTAACAGCCACCGCCGATGTTCCCACGGGGATTTCCTTGGTAAGAGCGTTTTGTGTCTCTCGTTTTTTTCTCGTGCCACCTTTTGTTTCCTACGCAAATCTGTTCTCTCCCTAGGCCATGACTCTGGTAGAGGCGGCATCGATCGGCTTGGAGGGCTTAGCCATCTCTCCCTGAGGGCCGAACCTCACGTCTCCCTCCTGCGGTACGCCGTGTCTTTAGTTTTGTCGCAGCAAGGGCACTTCTCCTTTTTCTCGGTTCAGTTTTTCTCTCAAAGTTTAATTTGATAACAGTCACGTACGCGTCCTGCCTATCCAGGAAGAACCCCGATATGGGTAAGACTTCCTCTTCTGCGCTGCATGCATGCCTTGCATTTTGACGCGGTTTTTCGGTACCTTGAAGTATCAACATGAGTCAAAACAGAAAACTCCATGTAGCACCTAAAAAAAAGGGCTTTCCGGGCGTTCCTTGAGGGCCGCGGGGCTGCAAGGGGTTGGTTGCTGGTCGCCGTAAGGGTGTACATGCCGCTGTTGCCAAAAACTGGCGAGTTTTTTATCGCCTGTAGGGTGTAGATGCCGCGGTTGCCAAAACTGCTACTTCATGTTTGATGGTACCTGTTATCTTGCTTCCCCCCCTGCTTTGCTCGGAATTTCTACTGCTGTTGTCTCGGGATAACTGCAGTGTTTGCAAGCATACGGATGGAGTGGTTGTTGTTGTGTTCGATTCGGAACAGCTGTTCGTACCGTGCTTCCCAGTACGTGTCGCACTTGTCCAACAATTCAGACGAGAGATGTCTGCTTCCGATGGTCCTAGACTTGACGCAACGAACAAGACCGGGAGAAGGGTGTGTCTCATGAATACCCAGGATCGAAGTTTCGACCTTCACGCACCGGCCAAGGATTGTCGTCCAATCAGAAAGTGACAATAGCGAACTTGACCAATGGGAAATCTGCGGGCAGCCTGATGGCTTTCTCGCGATGTGCTTGGGGGCTCACTGGATCCGCTTGGGATGGCTCCGAGCTCTATGTCTGCCATTGCCTTGATTTTGAGGTCGCATCGGATTGGGCTTTAGTTGCGAGCGCCAGTTTGAAGCGGGGAATGATTCTTGGCGCGCCACCACTTACCCACCAGCCCATATTTTGATGTGCACAAAAAATACGTGAAAAAACAGGTGGTTCCGTGTATCGGAGACTCGAGTCTCCCGGACGGTATGATCGTGACCCCCGCCAACCGCGTGCCACTGTCGGGTATGAAGCTGTACGAGCTCTGCTCCAAGGGAGAGGTGGACTTTCAGGTAGGTTTTATTGATGCCTCTCAGCCCCGTCTCCGCAATCATCCCTTCCAAGCGGCAACCACCGCATGTCCACCTTCCTTGTCCCCTTGTGCTGGTTGATGCATGTCTCCGTGGGCCCTTTGTTCTTTTCGCCGAAACTATCGTACATGTACTACCCACAACGTATTTTGTAGATGTAGGCTGAACCAAGTGCCTTGCCAAATGTTTCGTGCATAAGCGAGAACTGTTGATTGTTATTTGCCCCCAAGCAATTCTGGTGCGTTCTCTCTCTATGGAAGCTTGATTGTAATCGCATTCAATGGCCTCCGATGTGCCTTGGTCGAAAAAAGGGGGTCCTTCGAGGCGTGCAAGGGTCCCGTGGACGTCCACACGCATATGACAGAATTGTGTGTGTTTTCTTGACCGATCCAGATGTCTTGTCGGGTCTTGATTCCAATCGAGAGTACCCGTGCACCCCCGCAAACGAGCTCGTTTGCTTGGTTCAGGTCTCGATTTATCTTACTCGATTTTTGCCTCTCAAGCACCCAACCCTAACATCGCCGTGAAATAGTAAATGTCCTGCAATTCCCCTCGATGTGATGTCATATTTTCACCCTTCATTTTTTCCTTGTGGTGATCAACGTAGGTGTCCGTCGAGTCTTGTAGGGGCGAAGTGGAGCTCTTCGTATGCGACGACACGTGTCCAGGCCTCTACCCCTCCAAGAAGGTGCGTTGTCTCGAACATCTCGTTAAGGTTAGGGGTAGGATCTAGCATCTCGTTATGATCCTCGACACCAAGCGGTTTTCGTCGCTTGTGCGAATAGTCCGCGGGGAATCGGAACCTTCCAGAGTAGATAGAGACTCCCTCGAGAATGAGATGGTAAATAACAAAAGGCATGGGTGCAAACTACCCTCGTTCGATAAATTAGAAGGGGTTGAGAAAACGATGACATTCTGTGGTGGCGTCACAACAAACCCCCACAAGGGAGGAGAGAAGGTGTAAAATATGTCGTGAGTGGAATATATGGCAGAAACATCAAGAGGGCCCGGGGTACGGCGGAAGCATGAAGAAGTAGTCGGCTTTTGGTGGTGCCTCGGCTAGCTCCCGAAACTATGCTGCTGCTCTTTGTGTTCAAATGGTCCCATGACTTCGGCAATCCTCGAACGAGAACGCTCTCACCGTCCGTCCGCTCCCCCCCCCCCCCCCCCCCCTCGGTAGCCCGGCGAACGCATGGTGTATACATACATGTCCGATGGCGAGATGATCTGCACGGAACACCAGCAGGATACGCACTGCCAGCCTCTACCCGGTAGTGATCGCAACAAAGAGGCCTCCGTCACGGTGGAGGCGGGGGATCCGGCGGAAGGGACGACGTCGACGCGGTCGTCGACGTACTTTGTGGGCGTGGGCATGCGTCCGGGGCAAAGGGCAGAGGACCAGGAGCACCTCCTGAGGGTGAGGGGGGGGGGGGGGGAAGCCTGTTGCTGTTCGTGTTGGTGCTGTTGTTTTAGTCGTTGTCGTCGTTTTCGGCCGTTGGTGCTGTTTGGAGGGCGGGAGAAAGGTGGGGGAAGGGATTTATTTGACGAGGAGCAATACCGTACAAGTGAGAGTGAGGGAACAAGGCTGTACTGCGGGAGACGAGAAACTGGCCTGGAATCGAGATGGTCCGGGAAATAACTTTATTTTGTCTTCTTTCTTGTCGAACTCGGGTGTGTGTCTCGTCCGCATCCCCAAAACGAACCACAGGTTAACGTCATGGGAGAGGAGGGGGTGCCAATATCTCCGTCCCTGTCTGCGAAGTTCCTGCCGTCTGGGTCGGACGCGTCGCGTGCCGTGGTCGGCGGGAGAGAGGCTACGGTGGAGTGGTGAGTCTTCTTAGCTTGGTATGCTCACACCGCGAGTACATCGGGAGAAAGGCTTTTAATCGTCGGATCCCGCGATGTTTAGTGGGGGCATCTCCGTGCTAATTGGTCTCCGTGCTTGCCTTTGTTTTTTGGAGTGCACAATTGTTCGTTTTTATGGGGACACCAAAGAGTTAGGAAAACTCCTTACAATCTGTGACGACGCATGTCATCAACATCGAGCTACAAGAGTGCGTGAAACATAGCACTCCCGTTACCACATCAACAACAGCGTTTGTATCGTAATGCGAAATTTTGATACCGTTGCAACGCGATCTGCATCTATGCGCCGATGAACGCAGGGGAGGAGCAACCCTGCACATGCCCAAGTTGAGCGGACGTCACCCATATGAGGCGGAGGACCGCGACTGCGGAATATACTGTTCGTACGAGGTGTACGCCGTGCCGACAAGGTGAGGCATCTCGAGGTGTAGTACCCCCCGACCCCCCTCCCGCCGGATTTCCCATGGCACATCTGGTCTGGCACAGCACTCGCAAGGATGATGAATGACGAGATTCTGGTCCATCCTTGTGAAACGTAACCTGGGCCAGCGAAAATTCGGCATATCGCTTCGTCCCGGCACTGTAGGGATGCGAGTTCAATGGTCTAACGACGGCGGAATGCGTTTACATGAGTACACCCTCCGTCCCCCGCCGGGTTATCTTCAATTGAATGATTTTGCAAGAGTTCTCGTCCCCGGTGTGGGTGGACTGTAGCCCAACAAGCCACGAACGTGTGCAGCTTTGCAAAGCCTGGTGTCGTGTGGTCCAGGGTGGCACAATGACGAAATGTTTTTGCGAGCAGTATCGCGATCCTCGAGGATGGATTCCATCCTGGCCACATTGGGCATAAATGCCGGAGGAAATACACAGGGACAAGGTGATCGATCAGTTTCTCCAAAACCTTGACCAGCTAACAGACCAGCCCAGCCTGAACGCCCCGGAAGCCACGAGGGAATTCACCCAAGCTATCCTTGAAGCAGCGCAGTCAGTGCTGCCGGCAGAGACCCGGATACCACGCATGCCGGAGTGGTGCAAGAGCCCGGAAACGAAAACAGCAGTCGTGAAAGCCCTTGCCGAGCGAAGGAAAGCACGCCGGAAGATGAAAATCGACCAATATCCAGCAACATGGGAAGCACTCCGGACCACTTGCAAGGCAGTACAACTGCAGTCGACGACGGAATTTATGCCCACTTGGAGAAGCATGTGGCTGGGATTTCCATCCTCGAGGATCGCGACATGCGGGGAGTGTACAAATACCTCAAGAGCTCGGTAGGCCTAGACGGGAAGCAGACAGGGGGACAGCAGCCCGTCAAAGACGAGAATGGTGTCATGCTGAGGAGTAAGGATGAGATTCTTCCAATGGTGGGCGAGGTTCTTCGGCTCTCTACTCAACGCTAAATCCCGCACGTTGAACTCATCCATCATCGAGGAGGTAAAGCAACAACCGAAGGTACCAACCACTGAATGCTCGCAACACCTGGAGTCCGCACCAACCCTGGAGGAGACTCGGAGAGCAGCACGGGGGATGAAAAACTGGAAAGCGCCTTGGTCATGATTCCCCGCCGGTAGAACTACTCAACATCGACAACGTTGACGAGCCCATAGTGATCAAACGCTTCTACGCCATCCTCGTCGAAGTGTGAAACGGGAGGGATTTCCCGCAGGAATGGAAAGATGCCACCATAAAAAGGCACTCTACAAGAAAGCGGACCGATCCAACAGTAACAACTACAGGGGGATACACCCTATCCCTTCTGTCGCATGGGGACAAGGTGCTCCTGAAAATCGTCGCTAACCGTCTCAGTGATTACTGCGAAAAACACGACATCTTGCCGGAAGAACAGTGCGGCTTCCGACCTGGTAGGTCCACCGTCGACATGCTGTTCGTCGTCCGACGACTGCAGGAGCTGGCACGGAGGCGGGGTATCCCGCTGCACATGTGCTTCGTCGACCCCCAGAAGGCCTATGACGCAGTCGACCGGGAGCTGCTGTGACCAGTGCTGGCCCGAGTGGGGATCCCGGAGGAAATGATCGCGGTCGTCCGCCAGTTCCACGGCGGCATGCAAGCTCAGGTATGCGTGGGCGACGGGGAGCTCTCTGGCTGGTTCGAGGTCACCCAGGGACTGCGACAAGGATGTGTATTGTCACCACTGTTGTTTAACATATTTTTCGAGGCAGCGCTCGAGGTAGTTCAGGTACGATTCAGCGAAGACGACGTTATCCTCAGGAATCTGGTATACCTCCAGGAGGAGACTGGGACGAGGGTAATGACACCACTGGGACAAGTTCGGAAGGCGGTGTGGGGTATGCTGTACGCCGACGACGCTGGGTTCGTATCGAGATCGGCCGAAGGTCTGGCGAGGATGATGACCATTGTCGTGGAAGTGTTTGGAGCGTTCGGACTGACAGTATCGGAGAAGAAGACAGAGACTCTCCTGATGAAGGTGCCGGAGAAGAAATCGAAGAAGGGAGCGCCGCCACCGCCACCCCCACCACCTGCGGCACCGCTGGTGATCGAAGCAGCAGGCCAGAAGTACGCCCAGACAGCGGAGTTCCGATATCTGGGTAGTCGGGTCAGAGAAGATGCTAAAGTCACGCAGGAGATCAACCAACGGAGCAGAGCAGCGTGGGCGTGCCACCTGGGAGCTCTTCGACGGGCCGACAGCACCGTGGGGACTAAACGTCCGGCTTCTAAAAGCAGAAGCGATGGAGGCCCTGCGGTACGGATGCATGACGTGGGCCCCGCGCCGCAAGCACTACGACCTGCTGACGAGTACACACTATGGGCTTCCGCTATGGGTTATCGGTTCCCGCCGCACGCGCGGCCAATAACGGCAGCTCTCATACGCCCAAGCCCTCAAAAAGGTTGGGTGCCAACACGTGGAGGCTACTGTCCGACTACGGCGACTCCTGTTTACTGGGGCATTGGCCAGACAACCGGTCGGGCGACTCCCGAAGCAATTGATGTTCGGACATATCGTTGGGGGGGAACACCCAGGCAGCGGGCGCCCGGAAAAGAATTGGGTGTTACGCTTGAAGGACGACTTCGTAGAGTTCGGTGCCAATGCCGAATCCACGGATGACGACCTGAGGACGTTCTGTTACCGCGTGGCTGCTGGCCTGTTGCAGCGAAAGTGGAGAGCGGTTGCCGTGGTACAGAGGGGTGGTAGAGGGAGCGGTGAAGTTCATGGTCAAAAGGCGCAAGGAGCAAGACAAACTAAGCAGGCTACGCGCAGAAAAACACCGGACAGAAGACCAACAAGACAGCCGACCGGGGGGGGAAGGGCACACGGGCGGGGGGGGGGGCGTCGAAAGATAGGAGGCACGACTGCAGCCGAATAGACGCCAGAACGGAGATGGCTGAACGGATAGAGAGATATGTTCCGGACTGATGATGATGGAGGCGACGGCAGGAATACCAGCCGGACGTATCCCTATATTTTCCGTCGTATCGCTACCCCCCCCCACCCCCCCCGCAGTGCCCCCGATGTTGTGATGTTGTTGTCGTCGAAGTCATTCATGTGTTTGGTGCTTGCCTACTTCGTTGTTCCGGTGGAGCGTTGGAAGACCTGTCTATTTTCCTCTTTCTTTCTTTTTCTTTCTTTCTTTCATCCCTTTTTGACCGGGGTCCATCGTATCCCGGTTAGCTTTCTTTTTCGTTTTGGAAAAAAAAGCGCGTTTTCGAGGGCTCTTCCATTTTTACTTGATTTCTAGAAAAGTGTACCCCCTTTTGGGCGTAGTTGGCTTGTGACCACGGAAGGTCGTCCGCATCAATTGGACCTTTCAACAGAAGGTACTGAGCGGAGACGGGAACGGTTTTTAACGTGAAGACAACAGCAAGAATGCCGAGCTTTCTAAGGATCGATTCCACGACATCTCTTCGATCGAGGTATCTATTCGCCATGGAAATATGGCGGAGTATGCCCCGACTGTCGCCCCGCGTGTCCACGTAAGATGTGGCAGTCACAACCAAACCCACACGCACGAAATATGCACTGCTATCGGCATGTTTCGGGTTCTTCAATTGTGTGTTCCCACCGCTGCTGCCGTTGCTGTTGAGAAGACTGAAAGGCGAGTTTCCTCACACGGCTTGCGGGCTGGAGTCCCTCAGCAACCGCTTGAAGGTGGATGTCGTGTACAAGTTCGTCGGAAACGCCAAGAATCCCGGGGAGGTGACGCAGGTGAGCCCAAAGAGAACACGTGCTTGAAACGGCAAACTGTTGTGACGATTACGACCATGGCAGGCATCAAGAGTGGTCCGTCCTCACAATAGAGGCAGCAGATACCACGCCACGATGGCGTTATTTGTTTGGCGTTCGATGACATTATCAGACGGTGTAATGGTAGGAGGTGTGGTTACTGTCCCACGCATGTCAGCGCATTCTAACACAGCCCAGCTACCACGGGGATGTGATAACGAGCGAGTTGTGGGAAATGGGGGGTGAGTGGTATCTTTGCGGGTTAAAAGGAATCGTTGTTGTCGCAATCCCCCTGCGGGCTGTGACACGTTAACGCATTCAAGCGGGGGGTGATACCGTAGGCTGCATAAGACGTAACACCCCCTGGGCTGATGTTCAACGCTCGATCTCGTCGAGAGCCTTCCGAAGACGTATTATTCGAATTTGGGCATCCTCTTCGTCATGAAGTATGGAGCTTGGGGTGTGATATCGTATATTCAACATGATACTCTGAGGGCAAAGAAGTGTTTATGCGAGAGTGCTCTCTCTTGAGGTGTGTGTGAGATCACAAGGGTGGTGAAATCTCTCATGCAGACTGTTGCTGATTGCAAGGCGTGGCATTTCCACGTGGCGGTGCCCATACGTATTTTCTTGCACAGACAAAAGACAGCGCGGAACCTACGAAGCGTAGATCGACCTGGGTAAACCAAAGCATGTTGGACTCGCGAATGTTGATAATGCTAAACGGTCAGAACTAGATTCCAGACACCGGCGGAGCTACCCCATGTGCAAACGGAGAAGAAACACACACAGACTGACTGTCACAAACATGTGAAAGAATAGAGAATATTGCCGACGGCGAATGGTCCATGTTGGTTCGAACCGCGGGGGTTTTTGACGCGACCTTACAATGTTGGCCTCCATGGCGGTGGAACTCAGATGGCGGAGAGGGGGTTACGTGGTTCACTTGTCACCTTTGTAACATGTGACGTGATTCATCGTGGTATGTAGTATCGCGGAATTTCAGAATGTGGTAACAACATCTTGTGTTACCCGTGTGATAAATTGGCGGGCGGCTCTGTAAGGGTCGTATCGTACGTGGGTGTAACATCTTGTCAATTACGGCCCTCATGCTCTCAGACGACGCTGCAAGGCCTGCGTGACGAGGTGCACTACGTTTTCGTGGTGGCCACTTGCGACTTTGTGTGCCTCGAGGCCCTGCTGCGCATGCAGTGCAGCCGGTCGCTTGGTTCGGCCCATTCTCCCTGCAAGCCTCAGGTGAGCTGACGGTGACAAGCAACGGCCGGGAGAGGACTCGTTGAATTCGGTTCCTTACAAATATTTGTTACAAATCGCCATGCCTTGCCTCGGCAACATGTAGTACGAGCGAACAAGCTTTCAAAGAAACCAGAGGTAGTTTGCGCCGTCCTTCCAGGTGCAAGAAGGAAGAAACACTGCGCGCATGTTCCACTTACGCTGGAGCCGTCGCATTACAAGCGACCAGAAAGACCGCCGTCCCGACCACAATACTTTCGGCTACACAACAAACAAATTGATATTGAAACCAGCGCATGTGGCGCAACGCTGCCCGTCCATGTTGACCTCCCTAACACCAATCTCCCCTCCCCCTCCCCGACAATCGCTTCCAACAGAACGTCGTGTTCCCTGCGGCACACCTCGTGGCATCAAAGTCGGATCTCACCCCCACCACCACAGGGGACACCGGCAGCGGTGGCGGTAGCAGCAGCGGCTCGGAAACCACGCAGTCTCCGGTGTTCTTGATGGTAGCGCTGCTTGCCGTCGTCGGCGGGGTCTTGTATGCGCTCAACCGCCAACCCGCCGGCGGTAGCAGCACTAGCTACGCACCGGCACAGAGCGGTGGTATCAGGTGGCTAGGCGGCTGGGGCGCGAGTAGTGGGGGTGGGCGTGCGGCGGGGTTCGAGCTCACCGATCTGCAAAGACCGGGTCGAGGGGACGACGGCCTTGGAGAATTCTTGGTCGGGGATGGGAGGGGAAGGGGTGACGCGGAATCGGGCCCGGCGTACGCCAGCCTCCTGCCCGGATAGAGCCGGTGAAGCTAGGGGAGGGGTGAGCGTTGAAGGAGTTTCGTTTGTCTCTCCTCCCCTCTGTGTTTGCGTCCACCCTCCGGCGATCGGTGTGTCTGAAGCGGCAGCGATCTCGAAAGCAGGGTGCACGTGTGTATAGTTAACCCCACCCTCTCATTTTGGTCTCTGCTGCGGAGGGGTGTGCGGCCTTTGTCGATATGTGTCGGAGCTGTGTCCCTTTGTCCGTCCTCCTCGGGGACGGTGCTGTACTCCAACGATTGGGAACCGCGCCCCTAACCGCCTCGCTTCCCGTGAAGACGTTTCGGTATAACCCCTGAAGGGGACTTTGAATAGTGTAGTGCACGCTTAGGAATATTCATGTTGTACATGGATATTCATGTTGTACATGGATGGACGGAGGAGATTTAGAAACGAACACGGATCGTGCGGCCGGCCTAGAAAATTCGCTTATGGCTGATACGCGGTGCACCGCAAGGCTTGTTCGCTTTCTTCTCGTATGTACGAGCTCGAGCTGGGATGCTGAACTCCGAGTCCCGGCAGGCGACAGCGGAAGCCGCCTACTCCGTCTGCAGGCGGTGCTCTGTGGAGCACTGCATCATGTCCTGTTCTTGAACAGGCACGCCCGGCCTGTCGGTCCACTTTACCCAACCCCCTCGCGGAGAAGGCTTCAAAGAACGAACGCACTGAGAAACGCGTACCGCCATGGTACCCAAACGTCTTGAATTGGATATTGCGGTTGGACCTATCCACCGCCAGGAAAGTTTTGGCCTTGTGTCCAGCGAGGGGCGCTCCTGAAAACGATCCCTGGGGGAAGATATTACAAGGGTCATGCTGTCGCTAGAAGAAGAGCGATGTTGCGGTTGATGCATGCGGCGGTTGCGGGAATTGTATTCTGGGAAAGATGGCTAAGTTTGTTGTCGGTAAACGCAAAAGTGTCGTTTATTGTGGATGGAATTTCGTTTATTGTGTGTAAAACTAACATGTCAAAATTCATCGTTGTTGGAAACCGGTGTCACGAAGAATAAATCTCGCGTACCCCCTTCTAGACACTTGTGGAGGAGAGCACGTGGTATGTCGTAGTCGTAGGTCGTTGCGCTGGTGAGCTCGAGAGGAAACTACGGGAGTACGTGACCACGCCGAAGAATGGAGGCCCTAGCCAACATAGGTGGCCACAATGTATATTTTCCGGCCCACACATACCTTTTCTTTCGAAGGTGGGGATACGGAAAAAGTACGGAAAAAGTCACGAGGTCCTTTTTGCTTTTGGTTGGTTTCTGTTTTTTTCTGGTGATGTGATGATGCATAGTTGAATGATCGAGTACAACTTTGGGACCCGTAGCAGTCGTCGGATTTCCACGGCTGGGTACAGCTGACGTGCGAATAGAAAGAGACAGTGTTGAGGGGGAGACGGGCGCGAGACATGCGTTTCTAGCGCTAACTCCTACCCCCCCCCCCCCCCTCTCTATTCCCAGTGAGGATCTAGAAACCATAGACAAACGATAAAGCAACTGGAAAGGAGAAGATTAAGCGGGAAGTTTGCGAGCTCAGTCAATTGTGCCCCCATCGGTCTGAAACTAAACGCACCCTTGGTATAGGTAGCTTATGGCGCTGGTGTATGTGTTTCTGGTCTTGGAACGCATACGGTTTAGGCTATAGGCTAGCACTGACCGATCAGCGCACGGAGACTTTTCGTGAGAGAACCGCTGCCTGCGCCAACGTCGAGGATGTCCAGCAAAGCCGTGTCCTTGGCTGACAGGGATCCACTCACCGATTAGTGGTTGTTGAGCTTTCCTACCGCGCGTGACAGGGGGGGCGTTGCGACCTCCCCTGTTGGTATTGCGAGATCAACGACCCCGCTACCACCACCATCTTCTCGCACAACGGGTTCACGGCTCTTGTGTAGCTGTGCACCTCGTAAACTCCCCACAGGTTGCCGTCGACAACGACGGCCACTACCAGCGATGTCGTAGTGCCCATGTCTCGAAGATCGAGGAGGCAGTCTGTCGGTGAAGCTCTGAACGCACTCATCACGGATGAGGTCAAGCGTTGGCATCGTATTGTCCGGGACTGCGCAAGCTGATACGGCCGGGGCGGAGATGTTCCTGACGTTGTTCAGCTGGAGCATCATCTCCCCTGTGTTTGCAGAGAGATCTGAAGCCGGGAAGCGGAGGTTGAGGCACGAGGCCATTGCGTAGAGAGCTGGCCTGATGCTCTCATGGACAATCTCGTTGGTGCCGTCAGCGGCCAAACGGTCGACTATTCCCCTGTCGTACGCAGATATATGCTCCACTTAGGGCGCCCCTTCAAGCTGCGGTGGAGCGCGTCGAAAAACGGACCGACGGGGATGCACGCCATCAAGTCCGCGACCTCGTGAGTCCGCGACCTCGTGATTGAGAAGACCGGACGTGGAATCAAAGCAGGTGCTGAGCGGTCCGTGCTTGGGTTCAAGATCAAATCACTCCCCGAATTTGCTTCGTATCACGGTTCAGGTCAAAGTCTGGTACATGGCCCTCTCGGATCATGTCGCATAGGTAGAGCTCGGCATGTGAAGTAGGGAAATGAGCAGTGGCTGCTGCGTTTTGGTTGGCCGTTGGGGGCACAAGGTCGGCTCGGGGCTCGCTTGTGGCGGGCCTCGAGAAGAAGCGAATCATTGCCGAGCACTCCAGGAAGAAAGCAGAACAGAGATGCTTCCCGCGAAAGCTCGGCCGTCGAGCTCGCCCTGGATCCATGGAGCGCGAATCACGTTTGTTTGCCGCTGACATACGAAGTGCTCGTCCCCGGAGGTCTGCGTGATCTTCGACGGCGAACACACGGCCGATGCCATCCACAAAACCTTGGCTCTTGGGCATTGCATGGGCTTCTGCCACTACTGCTGAAGACCAGGTGTTCTTGCGAGGCTTGGTGTGAGCAAGAGAGGTAACAACGTCGAAGACGGGCCGATACAAGTTTTGTCTTGTACTGGGTTGCGACAGAAACTCCCTCAAGTTGATAGCCGTGCGTGCCTTAGCGGTTGTCTTCACAGCCGGCAAACAGCAGCATGGCCACATCCAGTTCGTCACAGTTCCGACCAAACGTCCACAGTCAGATTGTCCCATCTGAAAACACCGCTTTCAGCTGACACAACGACACGGGACGAGAGCGCGGGCAGAAAGCCGCGGCGGACTATTCAGCAAAGCATAGCCTGCCCTCCCTCTTGTAATATTGAAGCACAACGGATAGAGACGTTCAAGAATGAATTTCACGAAAGAGACGCATCCATGCAGCAGCAGAAGCCGTAAGTTGGTCCCGACACGCCGCGGGGATAAGCGTACATTGTTTCGTTGCATCCTTGTCCCGCTGGATGAAAAAGACAATACATTCGCGACTATGCACAACCCGCTGCCGCAAGAAACACATCGAAGCACCGGAGACGCCGTCACAACTCGCCCTCTCCCGCTGACGGTGGCGTTTGCTGCTGCCCTGGCAAACCTTTCCCGAGCGGGTCGTCTCCTCGATAGTGCTTGAGCAGGAGAGTAAACACCAGAGCGCACAGGCACACGAACGTCAACCTCAAGGCCTCCTCGGCGAGCGCCCGCCGCCAGGAGGGCTCGTCTTCTTCCTTTCCGGTCCCTACCTCCGCTCCCGCCGTTGCATCATGCAACCCCTTCGCCGTCGCTCCCTTTCGACGCTGCAGACCACTGCTGCTGCCATCGCTTGTTGATGTTGGTCGTCCTGTTTGGTCTACCGCGTTCCCGCCGGAACCGGAGGTTGCGGCGGCAGACGCTTGCCCGGGCTGGTTTCAAGAAAAATATGAACAGCAGGGGCGGGGGTGAAACAAAGCGAAAGAAAATCGGAAGAAGGAGCAAGAGGTGGGGTACACGACGATGAGGCGCTCGCTACATACCGCGAAGGCACGGACCAAGAACCCCACGCATGTAAACCACCGACAACCATCTTCACCGGTGCTGGTGTTGTGCCTCCTGTTGTTCATGTGTTGTTCAAACATGTGCCTCTGCTGTTTCTGGCCCCATTGTAACGCTGCATTTATCTGTTGTTACATAAGGTTTGTCGTTGGTGGTACAGTACATTGCTGTGAATCACGTTTGAGCAGCTACCGTTGATACGGCCACTACTGCTATTGCCTACCTGGTCAAGATTATCGTAAAGCCCCTTCCCAGCAAGCACGTGTGAGAGCGGCAGTCCAATGGAGGCCTGCTTGCACAAACTCTGAAGCTCCGCCATACGGGAGCACACAGATTGTATTCTGAGCAGCACCAGGAAGTTAGAGGGAATGCAATCAACATCGACATGGGGGATGACGTGCACGATGGATTGGGGGAGGGGACCTGATACTGATGAAACATTTCGCTGCATCAAGGTCCAAGCCCAAGTACTACTTGAGCGCCGAATGATAACGTTCGCAATCATCGACCATGTTGGTTTTATCGGCTGATCCGAACGGATTGCCCCCAACACATGCGAACAGGTGGTGGAAACGCATCAGTTAGTGGAGCTACAACAGCAGCTTGTAGTGTAGTACTGTAGCCAATTCTCCCACCCACGTTCTACAAGCCAATTCTCGGGGATTCGACACATGAAAAACTATCACATCGCTTGAACCACGGCCATCATGCCATCATGGATGAGGCATTTCTGCTCTCATCTACCATTCCATCAACCGATGACCGGGAAGTTTGTCGTAGAAAACGAGAAGCCGGGATTCCTTGGGCAGATGTTTCGTGCAACTTCCGTTATCTGTGACTGCAAAAACGAAGGAACATCCTTGATCTAGTAGAAAATACTGGGCAAGCACATGTGTGTTACGTGTTTTCCAACCTTATATTGTCTGTTTTGTTTGTTGTTTTGGGGACGACATTTCACGCACTCCAGAGTTCTCTCTGTTACCCGGGTGAAACAAGTTCAGTTCACCACGATGGATGATGTTTTCTCTTCTTTCTTGGAAACCACCTACCTGTAGTTGTCCTCCATGAGCTCGTCCGCGTGGTCTTGAGACATCCTGTTCTGCCCAGTCCAGTGCTCCAGAGCCCTTTTCACGTCGGTGTTCCTCAAGTCATCTTGCAGGAGCTGGATAAACGAAGGGCCGCAAGAAGTAAACACGGACATGTATGCATGCCCATATTTTTCCGTGAGACAACCTTACCCCGGGGCTGCTCAGTCTTCTGCCCAGAACTATCGAACGCGACATCTCAATGACAACAACAGGAGCGAAACCAACGCATGATGGTGTTTCCCGCTGATAGCAAGCCCTCGACAAAAGCAAACGTCTGATGATGCTCATGTCGACGGACACAGGTCAAACCAGGCCTGTTTGTCCTACTTGGCCAGACGGGGGGGAGGGTGTCACCTTGTCTCGCGCGAGAGCTCGAAGCATTCCGTCCACCCTGTCCAACGCCTCTTGCCGCGAGCCAGTCGCACCTGCAGAGCGCGCCCAAGGTTAGGTGCGGGGAGGAGACGGTCGCTGATCGCAGCCGGTTCGTAAATATAGTGTTGCCCCGGACTTGAACCTCTAGTTTTGGCCGGGGGGTTCAAAGTTCCTCGGGTTGTAGCATGTAAAATGGCCAGTGTATGGGTTTAAGGGTTTATTAACAGCTCATAACGGTGTGCGCGTAAACTGTTCGTGAGGTGGATTATGCCATCCTTACGAAGGCTACTGCGGTAGTACTCATGTGTGGTTTTGAGCTATGCAGGTGCGCATGTGCGTGACCGTCCATCGGTCATTTGGATCTTCGGGGTATCTCCGGTAGCAGGATCTTTGGCAAGTTGTCGCGCGTTCCTTGCTGTCATGTGTTCCGAGTTCCGAATGCGTCTTGCGACTGTTGCTCGCGTGCCTCGGTGTTGGTGATGCACCTGGGTGCCCACTCTCTTCCGTTGCTTGTGTCTATGAGGACGACCAATAAAACGACTTTACCATCTCTTCACATTGTCAACCGGGACAGCCGTGCTCATCCAGCAGCACTCGGCTTGGGGCCAATCAACATAAACGCTCAACTTGCGGGTCCCCATCCATGTCGGGCTTCGCGCCTGTGCGTTCGGCGATTTGGATCCGTCATCACGAATCAGTTCTGAAATGTGTCCCATCCACCTCCTCAGGATACGATGCGGCCGTGTAGGCGAATGTGTACGTCTTCTTGTGCGAAAAACCGATTTCGTAGCTGTTGCCGTGGCGGGATATAGGTGGTGGCTATGGCTCCTTGGCGACAGAGCGAGAAAGGAAAGATGTGGAAGAACATTCAAGGTCAGCGTGGTCTGTAAACAAACCCGCAGCTAATTTTTAGAGCCTGAGGTGGGCACTGCATCTGATCTACAATAGTGCTGCTGTAGACTTGCGCTCTTAGAACCAGCTGCACCTGCTGAGAGAAGATCCGCCACCTCGACAGCAATCATGATACCTATCATTTCATCATTTCGGACTAGGGTTGATGATCAACATCATGCCCGCACTACCCTGATCGCGAACGCCAACCACAAGATTGCCACACGCCGAATTTGTGTGGCTAACCGGAGGTGGTGAATCGCAGCATGATGAATACCAGTACTGCTGTTCTTTCAGTCAGTACAGCGGCTTGTTCGCTGCACGGCTGGCTCTATCGTCCTCTACACTTGCGTCATCCATCGCGGATGTAAGCAAATCTTACTCGTGATACAGAGGCTGACAAAACAAAACACGTACTTCAAGACATACCACCGCCGTATGCGACCAAGACACTGCCAACTGCAAACCTTGCTGGCTGTGCCTTGCGATCCTGAACACGAGGGCTTGCACTACCGCTCGCTGGCCGACGCGGGGCAATAATTTTCGAAATACCCGGTGCAATTTGGAGTAGTGTAACGTACGAGGCCTGTTACAGGAATCAGGTATTACAGTGCAATTACCTGCGGGCATGGCTGCTTCGCGACCTTCAGCCCAAGACATGTTCAGCCCTCGCCTGATGCCTGCGGTAGGTCAAGTTGAACAGCAGCGTCTGTGCGATGATGCGGCGGTAACGGGGGGGGGCATCATGGAAAATATCAGTTTGCTCCCCCGTCATTTCCAGCTCGCGGGGACCCTCTCCCGCGTTGGGTGTCAAACTGCGCTGTGCTGCACAGCGAAGCTTGCTCCCATCGAGAGAGCAGCCATGGATCATGACATGGAGCAAAATATAGACGATACGGAGCAAAGGATCCGGGAGATTGAAGGGGAGCAGGACAAGCTCAAATCCCAGGTATCACTCAGAGCAAAAAACTCCGGGTTTCTCTTGTGGGTCAAAATTTGATTTTTCGCCTCTCCTCTCTGCCGTTGGTGCGGCTGTGGTGCGCCCCGCGTAAAGCTGCACCACCCCAAGTGAGGCACTTACGGGGGGAGTGTTCGTTCAGTCTAGAGTAACCAAGCCTTCTGCTTCAATCAGAATGTCGACGGCGTGACGTGACAAGGACGAATGAAGTGTTGTCGTTCGCTGCCGAACGTGGCCCAGAACAACCGCAAGACAACGACAACGCGGGACGCAGGGGACGCAGGGGGCCATGGCCCTCTCTCTGGTGTACAGGAGCAGTGCTTGCTGTACTGCAGCGTAGGGGGACGGTGCCGGACTCGATTAAACAGCTGCGAGGTTTTTTATGTTGTGCCCTTTCAGCCAGCGAGGTGCTTCGTGTCTGCTGGGGTGATTTTGAATACTACCGCATTCAGTACCTGCAGCGGTGGGTTGCCGAGCGCGTTGCCTTATTTACATAAGAACATGCATGCGGCAGGCATCGTACACGCATACCGCACAGAGTACTTGGATGGCGCCAAACCTATACTAGTGCGGGTGCGGGTGACTACCCCGTTGAAAACCCGGGTAACACCAGCTAACAGCGCGATGGACCCACTTGAGAGCGTGTTTTCATGAGTATTAGCCAAGCGAGTTTGAAGACTTTTAGGATACATACTTGTACGGACGACGGTATCCGGAAGCATCCTTTGTTGGGCCCCCGCCGTGTGCTGTGCCAGGCTCACGTATCTATGTCCAAAGTTGTAGTACAAACCCACAATGGCACCCTAGGCTCAGGGCATGCGGGTAAAAACGAAAAAAAAAAACGTACAACTCGTCGATTTAGCCCCTTGGGCTCCGAGGAGTTGCAGCAGTCGGTTTGGAGGGGTGTTAGCTTTCCCCCTCCCCCCAAGGTCGTTGGGGGGAACCCCAACAATACCTGTTGACACCCCAAATAGCTGCTGTCCAACTCTCAATAGGGCGTGCGGGCTTATTAGATAAAACCAACCGTACAACTCGTCGATTTAGCCCCTTGGCTTCCGAGGAGTTGCACTCTTCTGGAGGCGTTTTCGCTCCCCCCCCCCCCTCCCCTGGGTCAACTTGCCTGCGTCTTCGGGGGGGGACCCCAATAGATACTGTTGTCAACCCTCGGTTCTCGAATTGTTTCCTGGTAGACACTGCCGTCTTGGCCCCGACATCACGGCAGAGGTTCGGTGGGTGTATGACGCAGAGGAGAAAACCGTTCGAGGGTTGGCTGTTGAGCTGTTGAGAGGGTTTTACGACAGCGCCCCCTTCCCCCATGTTGGGGAGTTCAATCCGGCGTGGCGTTTCCGTAAGTACACGTCGCCCTTTCGTTGTACAAAAAATACTGCTGTGGTTGTGGAGGAGAGAGAGAGTGAGTGCAATGTCTCATTTTTTTCTGCGCGAGTCGAGGGTCGTGAGCTGCCGGCCGCCGCCAAACATTTGTTGCTGGGGAATCGACTCCCCCAACTGTTGTGATGTTTTTTCGCCAAGCGTTTGGAGCTCCTGCATGCTATTGTGTGTCACCTCTATCTGTCTCTCTCTCTCTTTCTCTGCCTCTCTCTCTTTCTCTGCCTCTCTCTTTTTCTCTGGCTCTCTCTCTCTTCTCTCTCTCTCTCTCTCTGGCTCTCTCTCTCTCTCTCTCTCTCTCTCTCTCTCTCTCTCTCTCTCTCTCTCTCTCTCTCTCTCTCTCTCTCTCTCTCTCTCTCTCTCTCTCTCTCTCTCTCTCTCTCTCTCTCTCTCTCTCTCTCTCTCTCTCTCTCTCTCTCTCTCTCTCTCTCTCTCTCTCTCTTTCTCTGCCGGTCTCTCTGTTTCTCTCTCTCTCTGCCCCTCTGCCTCTCTGTTTCTCTGTCTTTCTGTCTTTCTGTTTGCTCTCCGTCTGGCTCTGCCTGTCTCTCTGTCTCCCGTCGTGCCCTATCCTTCGTCCTCTGGATGGACCCGCTCTTCCTGGTTGCATCGACGATTCCAGCTCGCCGAGAGGGATGGAACAGTGAAGGGGCTGGAGAGCAGCAACCAAGAGCTTCAGGCTCGACTGGACCAGGCCCTCGCCGGACTGCAGAGGTGAACAACTGGTTTGATGGTTTGTAGCGTCCAAGCGTCACATATGGCGTTGAAATTACTCAGGGATCAGAGCAAGTGACTGCTGCCAAGAACAGCATCACTGCCGTATGAACGATACACACCCAGATTCAGCGGCGTTCGGGCGGGGGCAAACGTCTTGGGAGACATCATGCCGATACATGTGTAGAGTAGAACAGCATCACGGCAGTTGTTTGGCATTTGAGTTTTGACGCTAAGAACGTGGTTTGAGAAAATCCATTGCTGTACACGGGGTTGGGTCTTGACATGATGTGGTATAGGTTGGCCCGGTCAATTGCTGCACATCCGCGGTTCGACACTCCTGGCCGTCCCTCCCGTCTCTCGTCTGTTTATGTACCGTTTTCGTCCGTCCGTCATGTGCTTGCTCTTCCTCATCGTTTCCTCTTGCTTTTTTTCTTCCTCCATCCTAGCAGTGGCCTGTCCCCCATTTCTTTGTTTTCCTGATCGTTTGCTTGTTTTTTTTGTCTCCCTTTTTTTTGTCCTATCGGCGGCCAGCGAAACGTCCGCGAGAGAGGCTGCCGAGGGCAAGGCCCGGGAGGCTGCCAAGGTTCTCGAGGAGAAGGAGGCGGCGGTGGCTAGGGTTGACCAGCTCACGCGCCAGGCCGCTGCCCAGGGGGACTCGTACGGTGTTCTGGTAAGTCTTGTCTGCCTGCTGTACCCTCTTTGTATTCGTCCAAGGTAGGCACACAACAACGATTTGTGTTAACGTTTTGAGCGGGTACTCTTGAGATTTCCGGTAGGGACTGCCCTAGGGTGACGTGTTGCTTGTTTGTTATTTTTTCGTCTCTCGCTTGGGACTTGACCTCTTTTTTGTGATCTTGTGGAGTGCATCTGCACCTGGCTATTGTGGCTTTGTCCGCCTCCGCCTACATAGGCCATAATAACACCCGGCGGCTCGAAGGACAACAGGGTACAGAAAACGCACGCGTTGTGTTTGGTACCCCAATAGAGGCCCACTTTCGCTGGGAACAGCAACCTACGTGAGATTAAGCTTGACTAGAAGGGGGTACGTGGTTGGGTTAGGGATAGGGATAGGGTTACGAAACTCCCCTCTCTATTTCATTCAGTGAAAATCCTCGTGCGGACGGTCCGCTGGGAATGGATCATCGTTGATCCTGTCTACTGAATGTTTTTTTCGATTCAGAAAGTCACCGTCGTTTTCGTGGCCGATGGTGGGCGCCGCTCCTCGTGGCTCTTTTTTCGCAGGAGAGTACGTAAAGTTACGGCTTGCGCAAGAAGGCGACTCAGCAGACAGAGCCTCTTTAACACACACACATGCGACTCATTAACAGGTTTTCTTAACTTGGTATTGACGGGATTTTTCTGGAGGGGCGCGGGTCGTTTTGGCGAGTTGCTACCCTTTGGAGGGGAAAAAATAGCGTCACGTAAGTAGCACGTCCTCGCAGCACTCGTTCATTTTTGCACTGCTGTGACCGCACACACTGCACCCCCCCCCGAAACACCGTCAAGTGCCTGCAATGCGAAGCGAGCCACTGTGCAACTCGCAATTACTCCAAACCGATTTCACCAGCATAACTCCGAACCAAATCGGATGCAATTACTCCAAACCGATTGCACCAACAACACCTCAAACCAATTCATGACGCATTTATTCCAACCGATGCGCCTAAATACACCACAAGAGACCACTTCATGACGCATTTGCTCCAAACCGCTTGCACCAACGAAAAACAAACCACTTCATGACGCATTTACTCTGAACCGCTCGCGCCAACGTAACACCAAACCACTTCCTCTTTTTTTTCGTATTCAGGAGAAGGAGTTGGAAAAGCTCCAGTCTAAGGTCAGGGATGCCGTTCCCGAGGCTGGGGATGCTAGGGACCAGACCGAGGTCAAGTCGATAAGGGGAAGGGGTCATGATGTCCCCGCCGTGTGTCTTTTTTTTTTCGACAGCCGGGTTTACGTAAGGAGGTCAAGTTGGTAAGGGGAAGGCCGAGGTTATGTAAGGACGTCAAGTCGGTAAGGGGAAGAAATCACTGTTGTTGTGGTATTTAGTGTCGAGCAAGCAAGACATGACACGTACCGTACAAACTAGTGCCCAGGGGTATATAGGGAATGGTTTCTGATGGTATCCATTTCCTGTTGCACTATTATTTACGCAAGGTGTTTGCCCCTCTCATGTGCTCTCGTCTACCCTCGATCCTCTGGTGGTCGATGTGCTTCTAATTCTGCTTGGTACTATCTTCTCTCTCTCTTTCCGGTTGATGTGTTTCTTGCTTCTCTCTTTTCTCTGCTCGTTCCCCCCGGTTGAGGTGTTCCTTGCTTCCTCTTTTCTCTGCTCTATGAAACTCTTCTCTTTGACATCGCTTTTCCATCATCGTTGCTCGTTGTTGCGGTCTCTCGAACCGCGCGACCTCCGGTTGATGGAATGTTGCTCCTTGCTTCTCCTTTTTTCTCTGCTCTACTAATCTACTCTCTTTGGCGTCCTTTCTTGGTCCTTTCCTATCATCGCCGTTGTTGTTGTTGTTGTTCTTGTTCTTGTTTTCGTTGCCATCTCTCGAAGCGCGAGTTGTCCTCCGTGAACCGCCGAGTTTCCACGCTCCAGGGACAGGCTGCGGACCTCGAGCGGGAGCTGGACGAGCGCACCAAGGCCCTGGCGGCTTACAGGGGCGAGGTGAGCCAGCCTTGTAACATTTTCCTCACAGCAGTACGTACAGATAGCACCCCGCACTTGAAGAACGCGATATGTTAAGAACTCCATGCTCAACATTACATCAAACGCGAGAACTTGAGCACCATTGTATGTGTTAGCCCCGTTAACACCCCCTACACTATAACAACCTACAACAAGAACTGAGACCCCCGAGTCTCGGCAGAAACTAGAGCTTCTTAAGGACGGACGCTATCTGTACAACATGAAAAACATCACTAAAGGTGATTGGTCGTTGCACCTAAATGTGTGGTCTGGGGGCTGTGGCCCAAGTGCCAGGACGAGGGATTCAATTCTTACTGGCTCTTGAGGCTTGCAAACCACCAGAAGCCCTTCATGTGTTCACCACGCTCGTTATCTCTGCGCTACTCCCTCTCTCTCTCTGGCACGCGAAGACTCTGTGGATTTCAGACAAGACTTCTGGACAGAGTAGTACAATACTCGACTCCTTCCCGCATGACAGTTAATACTTCTCGCTCCCCCCTGAACGTTCCTTCGCCGAGCAGAAGTCTCAAGAGCTCATGGCGGCATTGCAGAAGGCGACCGTGATGGAGAAGAAGTCGGAGGACGAGGCGCGAAAGTCAGGGGAAGCGACCAGGGCTGCCGACAGTCTCCGGACGAGGTAATTGCAGCTTACTTTGTACCACACACGAGCCCATTTGTTTGATTGAAGGCATGTTCCTGTTGTATAATTGCTCTTGGCCTAAGATCATTTAATGTAAGTATGTTTGTATGAGGCCTCCAGCTCTAAGGCCGGTGTTCCCACTGATGCACTGCCGCACCGTCTGCAGAGGCGTCAAGCCTTATCCGTATCTTATCCGTATCGCGTTCGCAGTAGGGTGGGTGGGCAATGATCTTAGGCCAAGAGCAACAACAAGCAGTAAATTCGGGGATAAAGACGAATTCAAATTCGCCACGAAAATGAATGGAGGCGTCTGCCCTGATAACCTGTTGAAATGAATGTGCATACAGGCGATCATTGTCTTTCTCCCTACCTTGAATACGAGAGAGAAAGAATTTCCGGGTAGGGCAAAGAAGACGGAAGGAAATATTCCAGGTACAAGGGCTAACCCGACGCCCCCAGCGCCGACGCCGTATGTATTGGATGCGTGGATGAGGCCTCCAGCTCCGGCCTATGGTCCCACCCATGCTTTTCCTTGTCGTGTCTTCTCCTTGGCCATTGACCTGGAGCCTGGTTGAGTCCTTGTCGTGTCTTCTCTTGGGCCATTGACCTGGAGCCTGGTTGAGTCACCCAAACTTTCGTGCATTCTACCATGTTATTAAGCCAGCCTACGACATGCTTCCAAGTAGATGTGTTTTTTGTCCTTGCTGTTGCTGGTGGTCCTTGTTTATACTTGTCGTTGTGGTCGTGATTTTGCGGTTGTCGGTAACGCTGTGCGTGTCTTTTCTGTATTTCCTTCTCGGTCATAGCATTTTTTTTTTCGTTTTTTTAACCTGACCATCAGTTGTTGCTCTGTTTTTTTCCTCCTTGCGGCTATCGTATTACTAGTTTGCCGCTCAAACTCCCGTTGCTTTTCCTCCGAAAATGCCCCGTTCTGGCTCTCCAGACTGGCGCGGACGGAGGCGAGCCTGAAGGAGATGGAAGAGCGGAGCGCCGCGGACAAGACCGCCCTCGAAAAGCAAATATCTCTGCAGGAAACCCTTACCAATCTTCAGAAGGACAAGGCGGACGAGGCCGTGAAGAAGATCACCTCCCTGCAGGTGAATTTCTTGGGGAGCCCTGGGGGGGGGGGG